CTCTTCCCCCTAACTCCTGATTTCAGTCTAGAGCCCTGTCTTCTGACAGCTGGCTTTGGTTTTCTAATCTCCCAAGTACTAATTCATCACAGCTACAGTTGTCTATTCTGGACCTGCTGTTAGCAACTACAATCTAGATCCCTTCTTCCCGTTCCTGGCTCATGGCTATCCAGGGTGACTGCCTCTGCTTCAAGCCCTTAATTTGGCCTCCTGCCCTGCTGTTTACTGATCCCCTGATTCTTGACTCCAGTCTAGACCTTGTCTGTTCCTGATCCCTCCAGGGTCAAGCTCCAACCCCTCAACCCCCGCGCACTGGTCACACTCCTGACAAACAGTTGCTCCCTCCATAATCACTTCTGCTAGCAGTTTTGGAAGAGGCATTAGGGTCATAACCGCTTTAAACTCTACCAGTCCTCACCCTTTTGTAAAGCTAGCCCAGACAGCAGGCATATGTCCAAATTGCATATTGCCAGAAAAAGGGTTAACACTGGACTCTGCCCCCGCTGCTTTCTGTCCCAAGAGGAGTGGCAGCCATTATGCAGCACAGCCTCTCTGTGAAAAAGCTAGCTGTAGGGCACGACTAGGATTTTTTTCCCCCTACAGTTTGGTTTCCAAAAGGGCAAGGTGCATATCTTATTTGAAGACATGTGGTATGTAAGAAAATATGGAAATAAAGCCAAAGTTAGAAAATGGGTCTGGTTTAGATAATGTCCTGTGTTACAAGCAGGGTGGAGACACATGGTATAAATGACCATTCTTCTCATTAAGATATCATTTGACTTCCCTAATTTTTTCTCAAAGTTTATTCAAAGAACTATAGGGAAGACAGAAAAAAAACTTATATCAAGTCTCACTTTTCACAAGCTGGTGTGCATTTTTCCACACACGCCCATTATTATCCAAACTGATTGCAAAGTAGTACCCAGAGGTCCTGATCAGGATCAGAGACTCACTTCAAGGTGCTATTTTAATACAGAAAAAGACACAGGCTGGAAACACGTTACCTTTGTGTTACCATAACCAGAAGGCACAAAGTGAAAACAAATATGCATTCAAGCTTTTTGTCATGCCACAAACGCCTTTGTGGCCATGCCAAAAGGTAGTGATAATTTATGTTGCTTTTTCCCCACTGTGGATGTCTATTTGCTCTATGGAGGGTGAATGTGGGCTTCCTGGAGCTGGGATCCACACCAGGCAGGAGATCCTGGGGCTTGAGGGAACCATTCCTG